AGAGAGAGAGAGAGAGAGAGAGAGAGAGAGAGAGAGAGAGAGAGAGAGAGAGAGAGAGAGATTGCCTTTTTAGATAAATTATACATGAATTTTCTCTGTCACATTCTCATCTCGTATTTTATTTGCTTCTGTAATTAATATATATCGTGTTTTATCTCTGTTTATATTTGAGAGAGAGGGGGGGGGGAAAGGGGGAGAAAGAGGAAGTAAAAAGCATGGGAGAATAAATCATAAAATTCTATCGGTTTGTAGGGTACTTACACTTTTTACGGGTAACTCCGACCTGAAATCTACGTGCGCCCGCCGGATATTTTTGACTGATATATTACGGAACATTGGTATAATACGGTGACATCTCGGTAGCCGCGAGATGTATGCATTGTTTTCCATTTCGGGACGCGAAATCCTACGTATACGTTGCGAATTGCCGGCTGTCGCGGCGCACCTAAACGGAACAGTCGCGAATTTAAATTCCTCCCTCGTAAAGATTCAATTACCGTGAGAATATCTTGCGCCATCCCGCCTGGAAACAAGCCAGCCGCAGTTGTATCACGTAGTACGACTCTTTTGCAACAGCAACGATGCAACTTTATTTTACCGCTCCTCCCTCGCATCTCGACAAATAGGCTCGCATGTGCCGATATATCTCCACGTGTTACTCGCGGTGCCTTCCAGCTATTGTTACTTTTTTTTTTTAACACTGGTTCAATTACGAGAGATATAAATATTAATTACGTAACTCGGAAAACTGCAAAAAATGAAATCCGAGCGTGAAAGAAGGCGGGGCTTTTCTCTCGCGAGTTTTCGGGATCAGGTTCGATATTGCCAAATGTGAATTTCATACCGATCATAGCGTTTTACATATACGGCTATTAAATTACACGTGTTCTCCACACCTGTGCGCGCGTAATAAAAAAAACGGAAAATGCACGAAAAGAGAAATGTAGAAAAAAAAACGCATCGATCACGGGTATTATTCGGTGGTAACGTGCGTGCCTTTACAGCGCCGGATATTAGAATCATCGACGAAGCCAGACACGAGTTACGGGACCGATACTACAAGACCGGAAGCGGAATCGAGCTAGCGTGCGTCGTCCGGCCGTCCTGTCCGGACTCGAGGGTGCCGTATCCCGTGTGGCGGAAAAATGGCGAGACGTTGCCGGATCACGTCAACGTTTATCACATTAATGGGTGAGCATATATCGCGAGGTAGCGATGGATCGAAGAGAAGCTCTCCCGGAGACGGATGTACGGCCTCGTCTCGATTTGCACGCGCGCGCGCGCGCGCGTGTGCACACGTGCAGACATTGTCTCTGCTCGCAAATACACGCGAATCGCTCTCATCCTCTCGCTACGCCGACGGCATTACCCTCCTAAACCCGTAGGGCGTACGCGTTGACGAGCGATAGCACACGCTTTGTGCGACGCAACCGCTGCGATTGATCCACCTCGAGATTCGCCGCGACACGCATTGAAAATTTATCTCTCTTTCGGTTAGATAGAACTGGAGCGCAATCTTCCCGCGCGAATTTTATTATTCCCGCGGCAGTGAGCGACAGACGCGCGCGCCCAAGTTCGGTTGAATTAGTATTCAAAGGCTATTTGTGCCCGCATTACATGTACGTTTACGTGGCATTTGGATTATCATGCAATTCTTTATTCAAGCCCGTAAGTCGGTTGCGCTCGGCATCTCGTAGAATATTTATACATCGCCGCGTTTCCGACGCACGTAAATATACGTACGGCTATATAGTGCATCTGGCACCATCTCCAAAGAGATTACGTATTCTTAATATATTTTTTTATTTTTCCATTTTCTATCGTTAAAATTCAGCATACGAAAGCCGGCGTTACAGATGCTGCGAGGAAGTTGCGCGTACGGCGATACGCCAAGTAATATAGCGATATGTTTTTTTAGGTCGAACGAGGATCTGGTGACGAGGCTCTACATCGAACGAGCGAAAAAGACTGACAGCGGTGAATATACGTGCTCAGTAAGCCAATTCAGCACGGCCGCGGTACATATTCACGTCCTAAATGGTAAATTAAATTAAAAGTCATCGAACGCGCAGAATTAGCGAGACATAAATAACGTTATATTTCCGATGTCATCGAACAGTTTTACTTCCCTTTGGTAGATGTTTCCAAAAAACATCTAACGTCCATGAACAATTTATAATTTTCAACACACGCTACTAGCTTTTTAATCTTTATATTAAAAACAATTAAATATAATTAATGCAGTTTCAATGAAACATTTTTGTTAAATGGATATAATAGTGTATGGATAAAAGTCCCATATTGTAAGATAGGATATGAGATAGTAGGCTTTAAACATCCAAATTTAATTAGAAAAAAATTTTTTCAACGTTTACACGATCCAACAATGAATTTCCCACCGAGCACGCTTCACTCCAAGGACAATGAATTTATGATAGAATCAACAGATGATACCTTTTTATTTAGTAGAAACTCTGCTATTACACTGAAAAAAATTTCTGGTTGAATATGGACGAATCAGATAATTCCTTTAGGATTTACTAGAATTCCTTTAGGATTTACCAGAATTCCTGTAATCCTACAGAAATTCTGGTAAATCCTAAAGGAATTCTGGTAAATCCTAAAGGAATTATCTGATTCGTCCATAATCAACCAGAAATTTTTTTCAGTGTAGAAACATGCCTCATAATAAGAGACTTTCCTCTACACGTATTATAACTTGATATATCGTATTACCCGCTTATTTTTTATTGCAGGTGAAAAACAAGCTGCTGTCCACCACGATCAATGGAACGCAGCACGTACCAATTGTTACGCAGCTCCTACTGGGTTCTGCGTTGTGTTCGCCAGTTTACTTCTTTACATGTGGCAAAGTTATTTTCTATGAGGCTCATTGGTAATGTTAAGTTATGTATCGCGTCAGGTGGCACGTTGTATCTTATCAAGTTACATGTTGTATCGCGTCAAGTTACACGTACTTCGACGGCACTTCTGTATGAGTTACGTTATTATACATGTATTACTTCGAGCTCAACAAAATACGTGACTTTTGATTAATACGGTAGTACCGTTACGAATACGAATCCGTTGTATAAATCTGTGTCAGTATTATCGGATTATAAATGAGGAATAGATATTGATATTAAAATAAATATTGTATTTCTACGCTGTCAGAGTTCTATTGTTTTAAACGAAAGAACAATGTCACTTATAGTCGCCAGTGATGATTAAAAATTAAAAAGTGAGCTTATTGTCAACCCAACTGGCGTTGGGTTGATATCTCTGTCCGATATCCGATGATATCCGATATTTCTGGAACGTTAAATAGGTACACTCTGTGACTGACATATCTGCGATCATCACGAGACCTTTTGTTTGGTACCTACTTTGTGACCAAAATCGAATGCGAAAAAAATGGGGCCGATCTTGTTCTCACTCTTTTATTGAATTCGTTACGTTTCGACCTGATTTCAGATCTTTTTCAAGTAACAAAACTGCAAAATTAATCTCTTATACTTGTTGACTTGCAGTATTACTTGAAAAGAACCCGAATGAAGCAAGGTCGAAACGTTGTAACGAATTCAATAAAATTGGCCAGTTGGGTTGACAATAAGCTCATTTTTTAATTCTATTGTTTTCTCCTATTATTCTTTCCTTCTTTAAACGTTCAATTAAAACTATTCTCTTTTAAGTTTTCTGTTTTATATATTAAACTCGTTAATTCTGCATATATCAATCTATCGTATTCGGTATTTTTGATAAATTTTTTTGAACGATATCATAAAAGAAAATCTATCTACGACAGATCAGTTAAAGGCGGAACTGTATCGACTGTCGTAAATAAAGCTTACGCAAGCTTCGCAAGCTCGATGACTATTTCTATAATGCCAATAGTAGAAAACGATGATACTGTGCACACAGAATCACTGTTTTATCAATTTTAGCAAAGGATGGTCGCTACTATTATCTATAAAACCATAATGTATACACTATATATGTATATGCGTACAATATGTGTATGTTATTAGGCAAAAAATTAAAAATTCTGGAGGCCACATTATTTTTTTCTAAGTCCATAATATTGAAAGCAGATAAACAACAAGACCGTTGTTTTCCACTCTATTATTAACATGTTTAATATGATGTATCAATTAATATTGTTTTAAACATTTCTGCGGTTTAGATCATCCGTTATATTGAAGGATGATGATAGAATAAAAGCTTTGTTGTATCGGGAAGTTTGAGGGACGAGTGGCTTGTTAAAAGTTAATACCGTGTTAAAAGTTTCAACGATATCCATCATCATCAATATTATTAATAGGAAAATACGCCATAAAATCTGTCTATCGAGTTATATATAGTATAGAATACGCTGCCTGCGAGTTGGATGCGTCGAAATTAGATGCGCTTACTTCTCGCGATGCCTCGTTATATAACGTGTTCTTGGTACACCATATTTCTTGGTGTCCGTTATCCGCAGCGCCTCCCCCACTACAAAATCTCAAACAAGTAAGTTATGGAAGTTCTTTACAGTTAGGCATAGACTCTCTGAACAGGTGTCTTGCGCAGAAGCTTAAAGGTTTGCCGCAACCGCAGACTCTCGCGAAATTTACAGCATTAACTAAATACTTACTGTTAATGATTTTCTTAAACGATTAACATACGTTTAAATTCACGGGGTTGTTAATTCTACGAGTGTCGATCATAGTTACGTAAGATTCGTACGCGTAATCATGCACTGTTAATTGCTTTTTAATCAACCGTCGTGTGAGTAAAATTCCTCGATAACTAGTCTGGAAAGGCAGGTTTTACCTTTTTTTTTCATCAATCTCCTGCAAAATTTCGCGACTCTTTCAACAGAGACGTATCGATCTAAGATACGACGTTAGTTCCCCGCATCTCTCAACCCGTGTTTTTAGCCTTTCAGCCTTAATGGTGCCTTTCAGATCCACTTAAAAGAATGTTTATAAAATATGATGGGCGCGGCAGAAAACTTGGACTGTAGTTCGCGGTTGGATGGGTTGTACGGTGTATGCGACGCAGCGACACCCATAAGCCAGCTTCGTCAAAGTTATCGAAGAATTTATCGCGACGACAAGGTGAGATACAAACTTTTATAACGACGTATAAATCGCTAGTCCTCGATCGATCGCTTTAGCTCGATAGCTTTACGTGGCTTATGAATATTTCTAGCGATCGCAGTCTTTAGAATTCAGATCGCGCACCTACGTCGAGGTTTCCTCACTTCTGGAAAACAGGCTCCGAAAGGTAGGTTGAGAATAATAGATCAAGTGCGGATTTTTAAATTTTAAACGCTTCCTTTGACAAATTGAAAAAGATTTAATTTTTCAACGGACGAAATAGATTGCTTTATAACAATACACCGTATCCGTTTAATAATTGCCTTTTAGAAATTATTTTAAAGACTCAGAAGTTACGATCTTTCTTGCGCAAATAGGATTTAATCTGCAAATAAGGTGTCTAGCAATAAGACGCAAATTGTCTCTCGCAATGTTTGGCTACGAACAGAAGTAGTGAGTTATCGAATTGTAGAACGATTCAATGGCAACGTTTTCCCGACTGCCGATCGTAACGAAGGGGTGCGGTAAGGCAAGAGAGACAGGGTAAGCAATGATAGGGATTAGAGCAAATACATTGGCGTAAAACTTTCCGCCGGGCTCGTCTGCATCCGAAATGCGCATCGTATAATTAAATTCCTCTGGTCAATACGGATCGACGAACAATCCAATCGGTAAGACGGAAACAGTTCTTTTAGCTGAAGATAAAACCAATGTTGGAATACCTAAAATTTCTCTTCTCGCTGCTTTCAGCGGGCAGAGAATAATGGTCGGAACGGCAACGACAAATCTATTACAGCGAGAAAAATCCCACGTCTCTTTCTCCGCTGGCTTCCACGTGGATAACTCAAGTACAACGATTAAACGTTGCAGCAAGTTATCAATCTTCATTCAGCGTTATTACAGAATGTAAATGGAAAAGCCGAATAAAATAAATCCCCAAATTTTGCTCATCGATACTTGCATATTGTACTACAACGCTGTTTCGTATTTTAACTACGTCCATTCTACGTTATCGCGGTTTTTCTCCAAACGTGTTTACGTTATAACGAATACGCAAAATTATCTTTCCGCGCAGATATTTTCTCTGGTGAATTCCCTCTATCCAGTACCTTCTTCCCCACGTAAATTACTTGTCAAAGCACCGCGTCCGTGTCTGCCAAGGGACTACGTCGTATTGTCGCTCGTAAACTGTTCTATTTTCTCTAAATTATTCCTCTATGCCCGGGGATTAATGCAACCGGTTAGAATAAATCTCAATGCCGGTAGACAGTTTTAATCGTCGTCTTTCAGCGTCAGTCTTATTTCTTTGCATCAACGTAAACTCGTGGGACCAAAACTCGGGGTATCCGACCTCCATAGGTCGTCTTTATAACGTCGTTTATTCACTCTTCTCGCATAGTCATTGACGTGAAAAAGAGTAAAAATCTCTTTTGATATAAATTATGCGTAACATCGCGAACAACGTTATTTTCATACGACACAAAAATCACAAAACATTTATGCAACGGTGCGTTATTAATAACAGACAAAGTTGAAAATCCAATTTTACTGGCTGGCAAAAATGTTTTTTTGTTAAAAAAAACACAACGTTTCGACCGTGAATTTCTCCCGGTCCTTTTCAAGTGTAGGGTAATCACATAACGATTCGAAATTCGGACATTGTGCCAGCAATATACAGGGTGAGTCTTTCCATATCCGACAAAATTTTTGAGAAGGTAGAACGGATCAAGATGAACGGAAAAGTCCTATACCATTTTGCAATTTTCGTAATAGTTAACGAGTAATTAATTATTAAAAATCGTTGTCTTAGGCCGGCCTACCGCCCAATTTGGGCGCGTGG